GGCCCCCCTGGACCTCCTGTAAGATACATTTTGTGATTTAATGCTCTTTCAAACAAGTTGTATTGTTTTAAAGATGCATATTAAAGAAGAAAAGTGAAGTTAGTTCTGAGAAAAGCTCCTGATCTATTCCTCCCATCTGGGCACAGACTCAGTGATTATTTTAAACCGCAAATTTTAGATTAAATCAGTTTAAGTAAATGGTTGGCAATGGCATTATGGCGCTATTTTAATAGGTTGGAAATGTGTCAAGGAGTGAGGTAATTAGTGTCATTTTGTTCGATTCTGTGTTTGTTTCAATGTGTAAGCACTTATGTGGATGTACTTATAGATTTATATGGCACATGACAAACAGAATGGACAAAGTTAAACTCAAACATTGAGACTTTTTTAATGAGGCTCAAGTGTCCAGATAATTTTTGGGGTCACTGTATATCATAAATATCACCTTTATGGTCTTTTTGTGAAAAAGAAGCATAATTTCTGCTCTGTCTGCTTTTGTTGTGTACTTCACTGTTTTTGATTAGCCTATTGTTTATGCTGTTTTTGTTCAGGGCCCACCTGGACCTGCAGGTTTGCCCGGTGTGCCGGGTGAGAATGGACCAAGGGTAGGATATTTGTATTCTATTGTAACAGTCCATCTCGGCTGTTTTTAATGGAGATGTAAGATGTTCTGTGGTAACCATAGAGACTGGCTGGAAAGTGCGGATCTCAGTGCATGTTCTGGTGCTTTTGAGAGCTCTGCGGGGTCAGATTAAAGAGAGGAGCTCATTAGGAAGAGAGACAGGAGATGTTCAAATGGCCTGATGCTCTCATATGCCCTCGAACTGATGAGATGACAGCATCATTAAAATGTTCTCGGAATACTTGAAAACATTGTTTCTTGCCAAAAATAATAATGGTATCTGGATAACAGCTCCAAAAAGGAAAAAGAAAGAAAAAAAATATCAAGCAAACTGAAAAAGTTTTATGTATTAAAGTGAAAATTCTGTCTTTATTTACTCACCCTAATGTTGTACCAAATCAATATGACTTACTTTCTTCAGTGATCCACAAAAGATGTTTAGCATAGTGTTGTTAGTTAACTAAAGCCATTTAAAAACCGTTTTGTTAACTGAAATAAAATAAAATATAAATATTAAATGGAAAATGAAATATTGCCTTTGCTATTGCCTTACCCTATACTGTATCGTAATTGATATGCAAATTTCTACGGCCTCAAAATGATCAACATGATCAAAACTTTGCTGAAAAGACGTTTTTACAAGATTTACTACATGCCTTCTGTTATCTGATTAATAGTTTATGGTCTGTACAGTAGAAAAACCATTACGCCTATGGAGAGTCCCCTCAAGGATAGCAAACCAGACATGTGTTTGTGTGTACTTTTTGTCCTTGCAATTGTGAATTTTCTTTTTGGGTGCACAGTTCCTGGGTCTCTGTTGTTGCTCAGCAGGGTTGCAGGTGTTCTGAATGTAGCCCTCGTTCTCTCTGTCCCAGCGGGAAACACTGTCAGGAGCTCTTAAAGAGTTCTTGCGCTCAGCTCAGAAAAGCAGCGGGTGGCGCTTGAGTGAGTGTAGAATGACACACAACTACAGAACGGCAGGAAGCCCTGAGTGAGACACTAAAAAGTTTTTCTCTCTCTCTCTTTTTTACTCTATTTTAAGCTCTTATCGCTGTAATACCCCCCACCCCACAATCAAATCAAAATTGTTGTTTTTGTGGCATTTAGTCAACATCTAAAAGCTTTGAGCCCATGTATATGCAAGTGTTCTCTAGATTGAATGTATCCCTAAAACCGATGAGCAATAGCAAGTAGCAAATCATAGTCTGTGACTGTGACCATAAATATAGGCTACGGGCTATTTTTATTAAGAAAATATGAGCCCTTCTATGTCGGGCCCCTCCTGTTTCTGTTGGAAATATATCAATACAGGAAAGGAAACTTCGCTCATAGGATCTTAAATATTGTTGTTTACGTTACAATTGCAATAAGTGTGATTTTACCTTTTTGTCCAGCAGAGGGCACTGCAATACTTTTTATGTGCCTCTAATGGATGGAAGGTTTCAGTCATTAAAGACATCAGATAGAAAGGTCATAAACTCTTTCTGACCTCTCACATGGAATTAATTTTTGTCTATTGTTAGTATGGAAATTGACTTATTAACTGAAATTTGAAGTAAAATCGGGGGGAAAAACCCCATAGTGAAAAAAATGGATAAATGAAAAGTGTTTGAATCAGAATAAAGTCTGATATTATCTTATTAATCAGACCAAGTGATTAAGAAACTGAAATGTTTTATTATTGTTATTATTATTTTATTTTTACATTTTATTTTACTTTATAAAATATCTCCTTACTCCATATTCCTTATTATCTTTTAATTTATTTTAAGTACTATGTTATTTTTATTTATTATTATTTTATATATATATATATATATATATATATATATATACATATATATATATATATAAAATATCTCCTTATTGCTTATCTGCTTTTACCTAACACAGACTCACGAGACATCGTCTTCTCTGTTTCTCCAGGGTAAAAAAGGTGATGCAGGATTGCCGGGAGTTGATGGTCTTCCAGGACCACCTGTAAGAACCACCAGAACATTCATTCTTAGCCTGAGTCGAGCTCTTTGCCCTTTTTTTTTTCCTGTCAAGTGTGGTTTTATGTTTGGAATGGAATACTAACAAATTGCTTACCGTATACAGTATTTTACAGCAGAATGCAACCGTAAATATTGTAGCGTATCGAATAAGTGAAAAGACAAATGCATAACACACTTTTCAGACTTGCTATAATATTTTAACAAATAGTAGGTCATTTATGTATTTCATGCATATGGAAACTTAGTATGCTATGCAAAAACAGTATGCATATTATGACTATGGCATTCTCAACATTATTATATTAATGAAAATGTCTCGAGTCATTTCAGAGTAACAGTGAGCTCTAGTGGTTACCAGAAGGCAAAACACATGCAGTGATTAAATAATATAATGATAACATGATATTGGTACATTTTAGTAAAATAAATTGTGAATGCATTGATTGCAGAGAACTATTAAAATGCAATTGCATTTCAAATGTCAACATTTCAAGTTTTATTTCTGTGTTTTGTTTTTAGGGTCCTCAGGGGCCTTCTGGGCCTCCTGGGAGCCCTGGACAAACGGGACCTCCAGTAAGTTTAAATGCAACAAAATAATACTGTTTCCGTTCGTTTTTATTTGCGAACTAAACTACAGCCACAGAACATTAGCAGATGATATTAAATTAATCTGTTTGTTCACATAGGGATTACCTGGTGAAATCGGCGTCTCTGGAAAACCAGGAGAACCAGGAAAACCGGTGAGTCCCTATGACATTACCATGAGAACTCAAACACACTGTCCACACACTTTAATAACCTGTTGCCCTATTAACTCAACACTCATTTGTAGTGCAAAGAAACTTGAAGCAATGATTTTAACGGTAATTATTTTTCAGGGCCTGCCAGGAAAAGATGGATTAGATGGTTTCCCTGGAAATGACGCTGAGAAGGTTAGAGCTGTTTTAATGAGGCAAACTGTGAACTCAGTTCTGTGGAGGCAGAACTTCATTATTTCTAAACCCATCTAAAGGCCAGATCTGCTTTTTGACCTTTTAATTTGTGTTTTTGTTGCACTGCAGTCTGTTTTTAATTATTTTGTATTTCTGTTTAGGGGCAAAGAGGAGAACCCGGACAGGACGGCTTCCCTGGTAAACCAGGACCTAAGGTAAAGGGTGACTAGTGCTTTAAGTTCTGGGTTGGAAATCCAATTTTTTCCCCCATCACCAATGCCAGTTTCTCTCTCTCTCTCAGGGAGATGAAGGCCCTCCAGGACCACGAGGACCTCCTGGTGAACGGGTGCGGGAAGTAAAACTTAAAACAGCTTTGACAGTGTCTTGACAGAAGGACACATGACACAACTGTCTTTCTCTTTGTGTCTTGTTCTGTCTCAGGGAGAGCCTGGTTTGCCTGGAGAGCTCGGCCCAGTGGGACCCAAAGGAGAGAGAGGAGGTCAAGTAAGACAGAACTATACAGACATAATTTTATGCTGTTTTCAAGTCAAAATCAGATGGTCTATTGATTAACAGAGTCAATATACATTGATATGTGAAAATATCACTCTTCTGTAGAAAAAACACTCCTGCTGCGAGAACCATCATCTATTCACTTGGGTGCTTCTCATAAAAACATGTTCAGCCAATATTTCACTGCAAAGATTGTGAGAAAAATATAAGAAATCATGTTCTGCATGAGACGGACTAATTTTCAATCTTATTAATGTCAGTTTACGCATAGTTTGTATGTAGTTTTGTTTGAGACATTTTTTGTCAGATTTCATCCCTCCATCTCTCTTGTAGGGAGAGAGAGGACAGGATGGATTTACTGGCTCGAAAGGAGAGAAAGGAGACAAGGTGAGAGACAAGAGAAAGTTTAAAAATGCAGATAGTAATCAGTAATTTTATTACATTTTCAGAGTAACTTGCCCAACACTGTTAACGACTCGCTTGGTTAAAGCTGGTTTACCTTTTCTTTCCTCTTTAATCCCAGACATCATGCATGCTTCACTTCTTTCTGGTACTGTCCCTACTGCATTTAAAACTGCAGTGATTACATCCACTCTCAAGAAACCCGGAGACTGACTCAAATAACTTCGATAATTATCATCCTATTTAGAATCTGCCGTTTTTGTCAAAAATTCTTGAAAAGATTGTTGCTCCCCAGCTCTGTGGTCATCTTTCTAGTAATAGTTTATATGAGCAGTTCCAGTCAGGGTTTCGTTTTTATCACAGTGTCGAGACTGCACTTGTAAAGATATCCAATGATTTATTACTAGCTGCTGATTCTAGACTTTTATCAATACTTTTACTTCTTGATCTTAGTGCAGTTTTTGGTACTGTTTCACACTCCATACTCTTAAGTAGATTGGAATCTATTGGAATTACTGGTACGGCATTATGTTGGTTTAGTTCCTATCTCACACACCACATGCAATTTGTGCAACTCAAACAGTTTAAATCAAAATCAACTTATATTGTCCCCGGTGTTCCACAGGGTTCTGTTTTGGGACCTCTTCAGTTTCTTATCTACCTTTTACCTATTGGCACCATTTTTTTAGGAAATATGGTATTCATTTCCATTGTTATGCTGATGACACCCAACTTTATCTGTCTTCTAAACCGTCCTCAAAGTTTCCTCCTTCTGCTCTTCTCGAGTGTCTTGATAAATTAAAAACTAGGTTTTCAAGTAATTTTCTCAAATTAAATAATAGTAAAACAGAAATTATTCTTGTTGGTACAAAAACCACAATAGATAAGTCAAACATTTCCTCTTTGATAGGAGACAATTGTCCTGTTCCTCTGTCTAATCGGGTTAAACTTTGTCGTTTGAAGCTCATTTAACATGAATAGTGTTACCCGTTCTGCATTCTTTCATATTAGGAATATCAATTGTCTGCGCCCTGTCCTTTGACTGAAGAGTACTGCTACTCTTGTGCATACTCTTGTAACATCATGAATCGACTATTGTAATGCTTTGTTTTATGGGCTTCTTTCCAAATCACTTCACAAACTGCAGCCTGTATAAAATGCTGCTGCTCGAGTTATTACCAAAACTTCCATCTCTGAACACATCTCTCCTGTTCTACAAAATTTGCACTGGCTCCCAGTTAAATTCCGTGTAAATTTTAAAATTGTACTTTTAACCTACAAAGCACTCAACAACTTGACTCCTTCATATCTCTTGGATCTTCTTCATATACACACTCCTTCTCGCATTTTAAGATCTGCTTCTGCACTTACTCTTGTTCTCCCATACACTCGGACAACTTCCATGGGGTCACAAGCTTTTGGTTATGCGGCTCCCCTTTTATGGAACTCACTTCCTGTAGAAGTTTGCAATAGTTCAAGTTTTCCGGTCTTTAAATCTCGCCTTAAAACTTATTTGTTTAGGCAGGCTTTTATTTGATTTTATGTTTGTTGTATTGGCTTTTATTGTTTAATGTTATTGTTTACTCTGTTTTATGGACTTTGTGAGGTGACCTTGAGTGCCATGAAAGGCACCTATAAATAAATTGCATAATAATAATAATAATAATAATAATAGGTCACATCTGTGTAATGATATTTGCTATATCAACATTATAGCATTCTACAGTATAGAGAGGCCATTTTTGACCATGAGTTGCTGTAGGTTTCACACATTCAGGATTAAACTGTCAGCGATGGTTTCCTGAGGGCATGTGGTCGTTAATGAGATAATTAACATGCTGACAGGATAAGGATATAACCTCTCTGTTACTGTTTTTCAATCATACAGGGTGAAATTGGCCCCAGGGGTCCAGCCGGGGTCCCAGGGAATGTGAGTACAGATGATACTTGATATGTATACAAATATATATCTACATGAATATACAATGATAGATGATTTAATTAATGATAATAATAACAGTTGATATCTGATGTAAGTAATAAATCAGATAAATGAGAATAGACTAGACATTTCTTTTTATTTTTGTATTTAATCATGCATTAATTATGTATTGATTCTGCTGATGCTCTGTTTATTGATGAATGTGGCTTTTAATTCACAGTATTGTATTACAGTATTATTTCACAGTGATATGTTTTCATTTTCTTTAGGTGGCCAATGTGATTCCTGAACCTGGTGAACCGGTAAGCCATCAGTTTTGTCTTGATTTTGAGCTTATTTTGAGTAATAAAATATATTTTGTATAATACATTGTATTTTAAAATATCATATTTTGAGAATAGTTTGTTAATAGATATTTTGAGTCTATCTATTAACATAATCATCTTACACATTTTTCTTAAAGTGTGGTTGTGCCATCTTTCTTGAAACTAAATGCCACTTGGTTTGATATTTTGTTATTTAATCCATTCATTTTTTTAAGCGTATGTGTATTTACTGTATATTCATGTAGATTTACTGTTTTTATCTTTAGGGTAAGCCAGGAGAGAAGGGAGAGAAAGGAGATCAAGGAAAACCAGGCGAGATGGTGAGCTTTTATTGTTTCCAACACTTACGAATTAATTTTATGTGTAATTAAGAAAACCTTGCAGTTTGTACAACCCATCACAAGAGGGCAGAAGAGAGTGAAGATTGGTTGAATTACTAGTCTCTTGTGCCTCTGAAAATGATTTAATTTATAGCATCATGTTACTGTCACTAGTGCCTTCGTAATGCAGACATAATGAAGTCTGCTGTCAGTTTGAAGAATCACGAGGCAAATCCACCTGAAAGGAACAGCTAAATATGTGCATTTCATTTCTGAGTGAGAACAGCCACTTGAAGTGTTTTACGCATTAGCTGTCATTAGATATTAAGGGATTCAGTGCTGCATAAGGGAATATAAATAAACCTGAAGGTCATGGATGTCACAGCACATCAGTTGATATTATGTACCTCTGCTGGCTCACATTAAATGCACCATTTTGCTATTGGAAGATTTTGCCGGTGAAGGTGCCTTTTTGCCCCAAGCTATAAAAAAAGCAGATCTCAAGCATCTGTCCACAGATCAGTGCAGTTCCATTAATTGAGAAAAATGCCCAAGCAGTGTGTTATTTACATATTTACTGTAGCTGTTATATAATAATAATAATTTACTGATGATAAATTGTTGACATAGCCAAAATGAGCTTTTTTTTCATATTTGTGACCCTGGACCACAAAAACGGTGAAGGTGCCTTTTTGCCCCAAGCTATAAAAAAAGCAGATCTCAAGCATCTGTCCACAGATCAGTGCAGTTCCATTAATTGAGAAAAATGCCCAAGCAGTGTGTTATTTACATATTTACTGTAGCTGTTATATAATAATAATAATTTACTGATGCTAAATTGTTGACATAGCCAAAATGAGCTTTTTTTTTCATATTTGTGACCCTGGACCACAAAAACTTAAGTCGATGGGGTATATTTGTAGCAATAGCCAAAAATACATTGTATGGGTCAAAATTATTGATTTTTATTTTATGCCAAAAATCATTAGGACATTAAGTAAAGATCATGTTCCATGAAGATATTTTGTAAATTTCCTACTATAAATATATCAAAACTTAATTTTTGATTAGTAATATGCATTGCTAAGAACTTCATTTAGACAACTTTAAAGGCGCTTTTTTCAATATTTCGATTTTTTTTGCCCCCTCAGATTCCAGATTTTCAAATAGTTGTATCTCGGCCAAAACATTGTCCTATCCTAACAAATATCATCATCAATACCGCATCAATGGAAAGCTTATTTATTCAGCTTTCAGATGATCTATAAATCACAATTTTGAAAAATTGACCCTTATGACTGGTTTTGTGGTCCAGGGTCACATTTAATCTCTTGACTAATGTGGGCTAATTAATAATTCAGGAGGTCAGTTCCTATATACTGACATCATGATCTGCCCATCTTCGGCATTCCCACTCTATACTTTTTCCAGATATTCTGCTCAAGATAATTTATATTAAATTACTTTATTTGATGTGTTATATTGTAATATGTTATATTATAAGGTATATTATATTATTAACACATTTAAAAAAAAAATTATTAATGAAAGCTCTCTCCATCATGCACTCATTTAATAAAATAGTCCAGACACCAAGCGATGCATCATTTACACAAACACGGACAAGCTTGTTACGATGATGTATCTGCTCTCACCTGAATTTATTAGTGTGAAATGAGAAATCTCTCTTAAATTTCTGCAGTTCTCGCAGGTTCAGTCAAATGCAATTATTTCTACTAAAGAAACTGCCCTGATGATATCTTTAAAGAGAACCAGGTTTCATTTCCGGAGTTATAAAGTCACTATGACTGAATGAACAATAAAGTGTTTTAACATAGACATAGAAAGAAAGAAAAAAAAAGACAGACATGAAAGGGTTAGTTCACCCAGAAATTAAAATTCTGTCATTTACTCCCGCTAATGTCTTTCCAAACCTGTTTGAAACACAAAAGAAGATATTTTGAAGAATGTAGAAAACTGTTTCAGGTCCCATTTACTTCCATAGTATGGAAGTAGTATAGTAAATATATTATTTTTGGAATTACATGAAAATGAGTAAACGACGACAGGATTTTCATATTTTTTTTTTTTTGGTGGACTATCCCTTTGAATTACACATTACACACTTTGAATGTGTTTTAAAGGGGTCATATGATGCTGCTAAAAAGAACATTAATTTGTGTATTTGGTGTAATGAAATGTGTTTATGCGGTTTAAAGTAAAAAAACACATTATTTTCCACATACTGTACATTATTGTTTCTCCTCTATGCCCCGCCTTTTTGAAACGCGTCGATTTTTACAAAGCTCATCGGTCTGAAAAAGCGAGGTGTGCTGTGATTGGCCAGCTATCCAATGCGTTGTGATTGGCCGAATACCTCAAGCGTGAGACGGAAATGTTACGCCCCTCACATACTGTTGATGCCGTGTCCCGGCCGGAGCGACGAGACAAAAACATTAAAACCCATTACAAGCGAGGCATTTGTTGCATCCAGTGGAGACATAATTACGGATTATAATGACTTATACTGTCTTTTTACGCGTTGTGTTGCATTGCATCGCGCCGCGTAAACATAAAACTCTGTCTGCATTTGTGATCAGAGAAATGACAAACAACAAGTGCTACTCTACCGCCCAAAACTCACGTTTGAATCATCAGTGGCAAATCCTTTAAATGAAAATGTACTTACGTGAGTCAGAACTGCCGGCGTTTTAGTCTAATGTGAGACTAAAAGTTACGCCTTCTTTCTTTGCGTGAACATTTGGGCGGCGTTATGCAAATCTTCCCACATAGTGAGGTAGTTATGTGGGGGCGTGTTAGAACGAGCCGTTTTAGGTAGGTGTTTTATAAAGAATATCTCTTTGGATTTGAGACTTTAGTCTTTGCAACTTTACAGATCTTCTTTATGCACCAAGAGCTTGAAAACACTCCAAAGAGAAAGGAAAATTTGAAATTGCATCATATGACCCCTTTAAGGTATTATAGCATATATTCAGAGTTGTTGCCTACTACTAAAATAAATCTGATTACCTTCACATTCTCTGATATTACCAGGGTCAAAGAGGACTTCCTGGAGAGCAGGGATTCAGAGGGCAACCAGGACCTGCGGTAAACCAGAAACAACATCTTAACCAGCTGTTTTACAATACTGACTTGCTTTCATTCACACAAGACTACTGAATATTATGATCACTGTTAATCCTATACCTTCATATTCCAATCAAATCTATGAGAAAGTCAATGATTTTTAGAGTAATTGAGATGTTTCTTCTGTATTCCACACATGACTGTCTGATGTCTTTCACTTGTTTGTGTGGACAGGGCCCTAAGGGGGATGCTGGTGAAAAAGGAGAGGCAGGGAGAAACGGAGACCCAGTAAGCTTGTCTTCTTATCACACATGATGTTTTTTTTTATTGATTTCAGAACTTTTCACTCTCATACTCTTCACTCTTTTTAGGGTCCACCCGGATTGATGGGCCCTCAGGGGCCCCGAGGGCTGCCAGGCAATGTGGTACATTCTTTAAAAAATTCCTCCAAAATACAAGATCGATTTTAGGAAATATACAGTTTGTTTCAACTGTAAGTGTAGTAGTTGTAACTGGTGCGTGACGTTTTTTTTCTTCTAATCTTCTCATTTTGTAATTATAACTTTTAGAGTCAAATATTTTGGGGGATTGTAAGTAATTTGTTTGCAAGATGCTGAAATCTTGTTTGTTTTTCAGGGTATTCCAGGCAGCATTGGTCCACCTGGGATCGCTGGACAGAGAGGAGAGAAGGTGTGAAAATTAACAAATGAAATAAACTGCCTGTATATATATATATATATATATATATATATGGACATTGATGTGTATATGAAGAGTTCAGATGCCAAAGCCTCTAAGTACGTCTGACGTTTTTCTTTAAAATTAGCATTTCTTTCTGGCTACTATTTCTGAATGGGTTGAGGCTGGGATTTAGCGCATTTGAAGTGAAAGTACTTGATGAACATATACTATGTGTGGAGAGCATTCATTCAATATTGTTATCTCATTTTTGACCAAGATGGTTTTTAGAGGGTTTTGCATTGGAACTTTTCATATATATATATTTTACATGGCAATTCAGAAAATATAAATTTGCTGTGAACTGTACCATATATTGATCGACCTATATATATATATATATATATATATATAAAGAATATATATATATATATATATATATATATATATATATATATATATATATGGATGTTGATGTGTGTGTGTATATATATATATATATATGGACATTGATGTGGACATTTTGTTGGAGAAGTTGTATTATTTTGCACCAAGCATCTATGAATTACTCAATTTAATTATGCAATTATGAACGTAATCAAAATTCACCCTGTCTGAATCAGATTTGTTTTTTAGGACCTTGTAGATTCTTTAAAAATCTGTGTCTTTATGGCTGTTAATATCACACTAGGGAGATGCTGGTAAAGATGGTCCCTCTGGACCCCCTGGTCCAACCGGTGAGCCTGGTTTAAGAGGAGAAATCGGTTTGCCAGGAAAAGGCAAAGAGGGACCAAAGGTATTGTATTCATCAGTTTAATAACATTGATTATATTATTAAACAGTGTTACTTTGCTAAAATTGATTACAAATGTTCCATGTGGATTCTCAAAACTACTAGACAATTAGGTTTAGAAGAAAAGAGCATGCCGTTTGTTTCATTCTTGTTTTACAGTTTCCCGCCATGAGCGTGTAAAATTGCATTTAATAAGCTTTGTGTTTACGTCTAGTCCTCTAGAGAATCTGAAAGTTGTTTATGCGAACTTTTTCCATTTTATATTTGCTGATTGTGGTTAAAAGCACTGAAACGTGTAGAATAAAACTACCACACATTTAAACTAATGAGTCAACTGGACCGCGACTGCAGGTGTTGGGGAACTGGGGTTGTTTTATAGCTACAGATGCCTTATTTTTCCAGCTGTACACACACACACACACACACATCCACAATCCCTCCAACAGAGATATAGGCACATTAACGCGTGCATAATAATCAAATGAATTAAAATGTAAGTTTTGTCTGCCAAATCACTGATACCAAACCAAACACCATTGGTGATTTTCAGTGAATCATGGCTTAAATTGCATTCTGTTTGTCTCACAAAGCTGTCATATGAGGGAAAGTGAAAGGATGAATAAAATATTGAGAGTTAAATAGAGGAACTAGCAGCACAGCAGTAATCTGCTTTCTTTAATTACAGGGTGATTCTGGAGCTCCAGGTGCACCCGGACCCCCCGGACTGAAGGTAATGAGACTTCTCTCACAAGTTTTTTTTCTCGTTAAAAGAAAGAATCAAACTTCATTTTGTCTTCCATCAGCATGAAAGGTCTATTCAGGCATTTTTATCATGAGCAGAGCAGGTGTGTGTGTTACCCAGGGGCAAAAGCTGAATCACTGCATTTCATTTATGTGATGATTTTACTGAAATTTTAGAGAGCCAGACAAGTTTTCCTCAGGAAAAAGTACCAGATATGCATTTTGCTGCTGTAATTTAGCAATCAGTGCTATAGACTGTAAGTTAGACTTAATACATACTAAATGCACACTCCTCCTCAAATGTTTAGGGTCAGTTAAAAACTTTTTAAAGAAATTAATTTTATTCAACAAGGATGCATTAAATTTATCAAAAGTGACAATACAAATATCTATAATGTTACAAAAGATTTCAGTTTTTAATATTGTTCTATTTAAATAAAATAGTTCTTTTAAACATTCTTCTCATCAAAGAATCCTGAATCCTGAAAAAAAAGTGTCAGTTTCCACACAAACGTTAAGCAGCACAACTAATTTCAATATTGATGATAATAAAAATTAGAATACTAGAATGATTTCTGAAGGACCACGGGGCACTGAAGACTGGACTAATGGCTTCTGAAAATTCAGCTTTGTCATCATAGGAATAAATTACATTTTAAAATATACTGAAATAGAAAACAGCCATTATAAATTAAGTTAGTATTTCCTAATATTACTGTTTTATTTTATTTTTGATCCAAAAATTGCCTTCCTGGGAGACATAAGAGACTTCAAGAACATTTTACAATTTTTTGCTGACCTCAGTAACGTAGATAGATAGACAGAGAGAGAGAGAGAGATAAATTGATAGATTACTATACTCAGACCTCAGTAACGTAGCTAGATAGACACACAGAGAGAGAGAGAGAGATAAATTGATAGATTACTATACTCAGAATATGCATTACAAATTAGAGTCAATATTGAAAAAAGAGTAAACAATATATATCTTATACAGCAACACACAGAGCTATCATCTTTATATTGGAATGGGAATGCTGTTTATTTTTCAATGTTAATCCCTTTTTATTTTGTGTTTCAGGGTTTGCCTGGTCTGCAAGGAATGCTAGGGATGCCAGGAAACAGAGGACCACCGGGAGAAGGAACCACTGGACCCGAGGTATGGAAATACACACATACACACACACAGGTTTACTTTTGTGAAAAGTGGGGACATCCCATAGGCGTAATGGTTTTTATACTGTACAGACCGTATATTCTATTGCCCTTTACCAACCCTCCCCCTAAACCTACACCTTACAGGAGACTTTCTGCTATTTCAGATTTTCAATACACTCCATTCTGTGTGATTTATAAGCGTTTTGAAAAGTGGGGACATGGGGTAATGTCCTGAAAAGTCACCTTCTCCTTGTAATACCTATGTCATACCTTTGTCATTATACAAATGTATGTCCTCATTTGTCACAAAAACGCGCACACACACACACACACACACACACACACACACACACACACGTAACTCAGTCATGTGGCTGTTTACCTGCTCATCCTTCCATTGCAATGCAAAACGCAGTCATTTTCACATTAGCATTAGTCAAGTGACTCCAAAATTACCATATGACCAAAGACTGACCTTTTTTAAATTTGCTGTGAATATGGAGGGGATTGAAACCAGTGCAACTGGTCAAGTTAAAGCAAACAGATGCATATAAAAGCACATGCATATAAAAGCATGCATGCTGTTATGTGAAAGCCTATGCAACTTTTCCATTTACAGTATTTCATACCCTATTTAGTGTCTTTTTTGCTTATAGATCTAAGGACAAACACAGATGCACATTTCTTTATCTCACAGCTAATTGATATTCTGTCTTTCTCAGGGACCTCCCGGACCTGCAGGGCCACCAGGACCAGCGGTAAACAATCTGTTCATATTTATATCACTTTCAAATGAGACAGACGCTCACAGAACACCCTTAAGTGACATGTCATGCTTGATATTCAGGGTTTGAGAGGACCTTCAGGAGTGAGCGGACCACAGGGACCTGCTGGACACAATGTAAGATTTATTTAGTTGATTGATTATTCCAGGACAGCTCACAATACTGTATTTTAACAGTATTAGCTAAATACTAAATTTCATCTGAGATCAAATGATACTGAGAAGTGGGACATATTAAAAAACATTTCTATCCATTTTATTGCATATGAATGATTGAACCCTTCTCTGTGGACACACTGTTTTAGACGTAGTGAGAGGACATTAAGAAACACAGATTTGGTATAATAATGAGAAAATTAAATTGAAGGTGATAATTGTGTTAAATACATTCTATTATTAATCCCTCATGACATTTAAAATTGAAAATATTTTAAATTTTTAAAGCTAATAGCAGTTACCCTTGCTGGACCTGTTTTGTCCCACGTCTCAAGAATGACTGTACACCATTCATAATAGTGAAGGGATACGAGAATTATAGACATTGTACATCATGTTGTTTTGTTTTGCATCAATCCTTTTGAAGGAGTTTGCAAAACTGCACAGCACACAACCAAGGGCACACTGACAGCCTGTAATTAGCTGTATGCTAATGCTAGTCAGCTTGTGGCAGGTCGTATTTATAATTCAGAGAATGTTTTTATTTTCATTTTAGAGAACATTTTATTGGATAAAATAAACAAGATTTGTCACCATAATTGGTCCATTTCACAGATTTAGAAGATTTCACTAAAGTGCTGTACTAAAGCTCGCTAATACAAGCATTACTATTAATATTGCTTATTAATAGTTAGGCATTTGTTCTTGTACTAGGGAACACTCTAGCAACATGCAAAAAACTCCTTAGCACTAATTATACAGTAATTTACCTGTGCAATGACACTGAGGAGCTTTACTTTTCAATCTCCAATCATGATGCAGATCTAAACCAGTTTCACTGCATTTATGTGGATCACAATTAAGTCATCTCAGGATTCAGTGTCAGTGTGTGTCTAAGAAGATTTGAATGTTGTTTCCTGTGGTGAGGATCATCATCAGCAGTCATGGCTCATATATGTGTCTCTTTCTCTGTGTGTGTGTGTGTGTGTGTGTGTGTGTACCTGCAGGGTTTACCAGGAAGACCTGGAGAGAATGGCACCCCTGGAGAACCAGTGAGTGATATCTGTTCGTCATTTAAATATGGATTCATCAAATAAGCTGACACTATTAATATTCACCTGCTGCTGATGGATCATAAATGCATGGATTATGAATTATGAATAGTTTTTTAATGGATTTTTGTTTCCCAACTTTTTATTAGGGAAAACCTGCAGACATTTCTGATCTGAACCTGAAGGTAACAGCCATCCATCCAGTCTCCAAACCATCCATCCATCCATCCATCCATCCATCCAATAATTCAAACCTCCACCCAACCCTCTATCCATCCATACATCCAACCAACCATCAATTCATCTATCCAACCATCCATCCATCCAACCAACCAACCAACAATTCTTCCATCCATTCCCTCACACAATCATCCATTCTTCCATCCATACATCATCCATCCATACATCCAACCAACCAACCCTCCATCCATCCATCCATATATCCAACCAACCAGCCCTCCATCAAACCATCCATTCTTCCATCAAACCATCCATCCATCCATTCACTCACACAATCATCCATTCTTCCATCCACCCATCATCCATTCAACAATCCAAACCTCCATCCATACATCCAACCAACCAACCACCAACTTTGCCTTTCTCTCTTTCCCAGGACATTTGTTCAGATTGCCCCCCTGGACCAGCTGGACAACCGGGTATGCCAGGACCTCCAGGTGAAAACGGTCATATTGGACCACCTGGGAAAAATGGACAAGATGGATATGCGGTGAGAGAGCATTATTCAAAAATCAAACTCTCACTTTCATCTTTAAACGTAATGGAATTGGAAACTAACGTAAGTTTAATGAATGGAATAATAAACATCTGGTGGCTTTGGCAGGGTTCTCCAGGACCAACAGGGCCTGCAGGACCACCTGGTGCTGATGGAGCCAAGGTTAGAATCTAGAAGATATATACATACATTACAAAACTGTATTCTTCAAGTCTACCTACAGACCAGTTCACTTTTAAAGACCCTTGTCTCACTGATGACAATAATAGTTTCACTAGCCATTCATGTGTCAAATGCATGTCATCCGACATTACCTCTGTATTGTCCGCTTAAAGGGGTCATATGATGCGATTTCAAGTTTTCCTTTCTCTTTGGAGTGTTACAAGCTGATTGTGCATAGATAAGATCCCTGAAGTTGCAAAGACTAAAGTCTCAAAACCAAAGAGATATTCTTTATCAAAGTTAAGACTCTGCTCATTCTAACACGCCCCCACATATCTACCTCACTATGTGGCAATATTAGTATAATGCCACCCAAATGTGCACGCAAAGAAAGAAGGCGTGGTTTCAGTAACCACAGTTAGTGTTGAAGCAGCAAGTCAGGGAGATGCTGTGTGTTTCTAGGTGAAAGCAAAAGCACTTTATTTGGCCTTCCGGAAGTAGATGCATTTAGGAATCTTTAAGATTACTTACAACAGAACAGCAATGCATTTTATGGACGACCGTTTCGTGAACCTAGGAGAGGAGGTAATTCTGACTTTGCTATGACAATCCGGCGCTTCTGAATCAGCTACTGTTTTGTTACTAGTTTAAGTATTTGTTATGGACTGTTCAAATGCAGAGTTTTGCGCATCGTGTGTGTGTGTG